TTTTTATAGTAATAGATTTTGTAAGTTCTGAATTTTTTTTTTGTTAATCTAGAATCTTGATTCCATCAAAATAGTCAAAACTAGAAATTATAGTGAGTAAGGACGCTGCCACGACGTCACCATGTAGCTTATCTATAATGGTTTTCGATCTTCGAGTGGTCGGGTTTCTAATATTTTTACTAAAATTTGTTTGTTTTCAGTAAAAGAGATTCTGTATTTTGTTTTATCAAAGAACGTACGCCGTAAACTTCAAATTCATGCACACGTGAGTGATTACATTGGAAACTGAAATATCGACAAAAGCAAAATTTCTAGAAGTCCGTACGGTTTCGCGGATCGAGTGATTTACTTTAAAACTCGAACCTCTTAGTTACTAAATACGGGAAAACAATATTTATTCGATGAACCTTCAATAATCATTAGATGATCATCTTTATATTCAGGGCCGGCTCAACATTTGTTTGGGCCCCTGGGCAAAAAAAAATTTTTACTTTTAATGTTTATATTTATTAAAAAATTAAATATTTTTTTAAAAGTTTTAACCTCAATATCTTTAAAAATTTGTTATGAAAATAAATTATGTATATGTAAAATATTTTAGGGCCCCTATTCAACTAAAATTTATAAATATTTAAAATTTTCTATATAAAAATATGTATATATAAAAAATATTGGGCCCCTTAATTAGTAAAATCGGGGGGACACGGATTTAGACCCGGGGCGGTCGCACCGTTTGTCCCCCCTTGTAAGCCGGCCCTGTTTATATTCAGCTCTTTCAGAAAATATGGACCTAGTGGTTTCGACACATGTAGAAGCTCGAGTACCCAAAAGAGAAAACTTGGCTCATTACCGAGTAGTACTGAGTTTTTCGGAAAACTATAGAGGCCCATTAAGCCCAAGTAAGTAAAATAACGAATGTTAAAAACAAATGGGGTGAGAGAGGCTCGAACTCTCGACCTCAGGATTACTCTGTAGCTATGAGACCTACGCGCTAGCCAACTGCGCCACCACCCCGAGTTGATAATGAGTAAACAAAGCTATGTATCTATAGTAAAATGTGTATAAAATCAGGAACCTCCCTTTAACGTACAATCAACACAACTGGAGATGTAATATATGTAGCATTATTCAGGTTATTAATCCCATTCGTAAAAAATGGAGCAGTTTGCTACACTAATTAAAACCTACACAGGCGCGTTGAGAAAAGCGAGTGATAGATACTATCATACAAATTTTTTTTTTTTAAAAAGGAGAGATTATTTATCATACAAAAGGGAAGTTTTAATATTAATATAGTAACTAATTCTTATAAAGAAAAAAATTGAAAAGAGCCCGTAATATTAATTTTAGAAATATTAATTTTAGAAACATGGTTTTTGATCAAAACAAGCTTAATTTTAGAAATATTACGGACTGATCCTATTAACTAAGTTTAAAATCAATTAAATATAATTATGATGTTGTCATCCTATTAATTGTTATTTTGTAGTATTAACATATATATGGTTATTGACATATTTAATACATGGGATGGTTTTCATTATATAAGAGTATTTTTGTGTGCTAACAAACTTTTTAATAACCATATTTTAAAATTCTAACCAGAAAATTTTACTTCCTATAACTTTTCCAGATATTTGTATAGCAGCTGCCAAATAGAGTTTTATGTTTCTTTTGAAACTATTGATTGAAATCATTTGGATTGTCCAAATCAGAAGAAAGACATGTTGGTACATGCAATTTGAGCCGAGCCGGTGGATGGAGTCACAAATGTTTTTTTTAATTAACTCCAAAGCACATGGAAAGGGCGACGAGGTTACTGCTGCTTACGTGACAGGAAGAGTCAAAATTGGCTGGAGAGTGGAGAGTAAAACTAGGGTCCAGCTTCGTGAAATGACAAGCCGAGCTTGTTCCTTTGTTGACCCCAGGTAACCTCTCGTTATGGCTTCGGAGAGTATTTGCTAATTCTGTAAACAACATTGTTAGAACAGTGTTTCTTAAAGGACAATGTTTTTGGCAAAAAGAAAACAATAGAACTGTTGTTTTTTATGATTTTGAATTCACCAATATAGAGACGAAATGTTTGTCTCTGTTGCCAAACAGGCTCTAGCCCTCTTGTATTAACCCCCCCCCCCCTCTATTAATTAATGCAATATTTGATTCACAAAAAAAAGAAAAAAAGAACTGTTGTTGTTTATGATTTTGAATTCACCAATATATAGACGAAATGTTTGTGTATCATCCAAGTTTATTTTATTTTTGTGAAAAATGATCAAATACAACTCTTTACCAATTAAAAATGTTTTTAAAAGAAGAAAAAAATTAGGAGATAGCAGTAGGAAATTGCACTTTTAGTGACCTAATAAAAAACAAAAATTAACTACGTAACCAAAATATTATTCTCTCTCTTGTTCTTTCTTCTTATCTCTTTCTAACTTCTTTTTAAAAATCTGATTATATTTTTTGGTCATTTCATCAATAATCCCTAACGTTAACTGATTTTTTTTTGTGTTTACAAAAAGAACTTTCTTTTTTTTTCGTTTACAGAAAAAAAAATGCTAAAAACTTTATTTTTGTTGCTAAAAGACTTTTTTTCTCCATAAATTAGATCCACGGTTATAATACTATTATTATTTATCTTGTTGTCATCCAAATATATGTGTACACTATTTAAATAAATATGTGGATACAGCATATATATATCCTACGGGTATAATTAAGTGCACATGCATGGTTGGGAACTTGGGCAGCATCAAGTTGGCATGACACAAAGTTCTCGACCAGAAATCAGAATCTCGACATCAACTTGTTTATTATTTTATTTATAATCAGATATATACTATTATTATATTTTAGATATTTATATATAGAAGTATAGATTATAGATACAGTAAATCACCAAAACCATAAACCTTTATGTTTATTCGTTGATTTTTACTTACGTTTTACCTAATCAAAACAAATTTAAAAGGCGAGTTATATGCTTCAGACGTTAGTTTGTAATTAATCCAATGGGAGAAAAGGCAAAGATGCCCTAAATACTACAACAATGTCAGAGTTGTTTAGACAGAGTGGAGCATGTCACCCCAAGTGTTAGCTAATGATCGATTATTCCTTTGGCTAAAATATAATCCATTGTTTATCAGCCAGCCAATTATAGTTACGTTTCATAATTCTTTAAGTTGCTTTAAAGACCATAGTGCGTATATTTTGGGTTAAAAGATGAATGATAGTGGAAGTCGACGTGAACAACTTTATTTGATTATATATGTTTTAGGGAATGATCCTAAATCATCAATATATACCCCCATTTGTGTTTATTAAAATGAGCTGGTTTTCAGTTTTGAATCCCGTAAGAAGGGTTATATATAAAGAATAATTCAACATTACTGCAATACATTTTAAAATGGTGTATCAAAATTACCAAATCTCCACTAACATAACAAAAAAGTTTAATCATAAATAAGGAACTTTTTTTATTTAATACTTTTGCAAGTTTAGCTAATTAACATAATATCTAATAATTTATAGAGTTTGTATTTTACCCCTCATTTGTTTGTTTAAAGCTTTGATTAAGTTCTACCGAGACATCAAGATCAATTTCTTTCAAAATACAGATAAATTTATTATAAAACAAAACAAAAAGTTATCTCTCCTGCTCTTTTTCTTGTTGGCCAACATCTTTTACCAAAAAGAAAGAGACTCGTTACTCTTTTATATATTTGAAAAGTTTCACAGAATTATCCCCTTCACTTAACTTTTCTAATCAAGCTAGTTTTTGAATTAACTTTTTTGTTGACCAAAATAATCTTTTGACGGCAGTAAATAAACGATGATACACGTGCGTATATAACCATTACCGTGCAAAGAATCTATATCAAAAGAACATGAAGAAGAAAAGTGAGGGAAGACTGCGAGATATACGTGTGATTTAAACGGTGACGCGACGGCGCTAAAGTGACGTGCTCAATGTAAAGCAGGTCCCACCTCACATGCTTCTCCACCATTGTCTTTGTCTGAAAGGGAGAGAGCAAAAGTCTTATGGGGTCCACTATCTTTTAAGGTGGGGCCTACCTTAGCTTTAAGTCTTTTGGCCTTGTCTAAATTCCAACACCTTTGATAAGGGAAAATCTCATGAAATTTAACACGTGTACGGCTAACATGTTTTGAGATTCGGGGTCAGGATACGGATCGCCGCATGGAGATAAAAGAATTCACAATACAAATATTTTCTGAAACTAGTTGAGCAGAATCCCATGTGCATCTCCCCACTTCGTCTTGTCTTAAATTTTAATTTTTTTTTTTGTTATTACTACGAAAATTTTACTCTTATCAATTGATAAAATATGGATTTCAGAAAACAGCTTCGAAGACGACCAATATTATAGCCATGACTCTTGGCCTATTGGGTGAATACTAGAAGTCTAGAACGACCAATACAAGGTTAAGTTACACGATAATATATGTTAAAATCTCATTATTGAAAACTTGCCTAGTGATACAATATATTAACAATAACGAGAGTTCACTACCAACTAATCATAGATGTAAGTTCAAGGAATATGGGTTCAGCGGATGCAGTCTCTTTTCGTCTTTTTTTCCCTTAAAATTAGGATCCAAATTTTGTACTATTTCTAAGCAAAAAGTTCAAATTGCTTTAAATTATAAAAAGCAAGTAACAAAAGGAGAAAAAGGAACGGCTAGAAACAAACACGGATATTTAGGGAGATCCAACTAGGTGGCTCGGCTTTTCATGTTCTTATCACTCAGTTTCAAAAAGAATGAAAAAAGACTATGCATGATTTTGAACGTATTTCTTTTGTGTTACATGGTTTTGAATGGTGTAACGTTGTTCTAATCCATTTACAAACAAGACACTAATTTTAGGGTCTAATAAATGTTAAAACAAGGCACTATGTTTGTTCAACTAACGACTCAACAACTAGATTAATCACTGAACATATTTAATATGTTGAAACTTTTTTTTCTGGTAAATATGTCGAAACTATTGTCACAAGACTCACCATCAAAGTAATGATCGTTTACATGCAATTGCTAGTCATTAACAGACGTCGAGGACAAAACAAACCAAAAGAGAACTTAATTCGATCACATTTGCCACTTAACCATGCCATTTAGATGGATTAGTTACATTAAAAAAATGTTATAATCTCCACGGTTATCAGAAAAGAAAAATCTCTAGAACATTCAATTTTTTTGTACCACTACATTCAACGACACAATTATTCTAAGTAATAATATAACTTCAAAAAAAAAAAAACGATTCCATCTTCACATAATTTGGTTGTTTTCAATTATTTTACTTCAGACACTTTTGTCATCTTTCTTAAACCTTGTAACTTGTAACGATATACTGCCAACGTGCATGAAACCGCATGCGATTTTAAGTTTTAACCTTTTTTGCCTCCAGCAATGTTTTCACAAACGTTCCTCATTGTTCAATAATTTCATTTTTAACCTCATCATCGTCTAGGAACTCCACTGACCGGAGCAAAACCACTGCTCATTATCCGCAAACAACTTGCACGCTTCCTCTCCACTAAAAAGATCTTCATGCTCTTCCATTTTCACAAACTGACCAAAACATCCCATCGTCGACATTTCAACCGCCGTAGCCGCCGTTTCAGCCGCGGTTGGACTATATTCTTCGTTCAAAACAGCGCTTGAGTCGCTACTATCGGCAGGATCTTCTCTGAAGCTTTCGGTACGTGGAAAAATGCTAAACATCTCGAATGCGAGCTCTGATGCCTGAGCTTCCTTAGGAATATGTGGCGGAGGATGCTGGCTTGGCTCTAAGACTTCGTTATTAGCCATCACCGTCTGAACCGCAACCGCATCTTTTATACCGCCGGTTTCTTCTGTCGAGGCGTTAACATTGATGGTCCCTTCCACGTCAAGTTTTGCTCTCAGCTCTTTAATCTGCGGAAATGAAATATTTAAAAAATCATAAGTTAATAAAAAAAATCATAAGTTAATTGTGTTGCAGAGTTTAGTTATTAATATTACTCCCATTCGTGTAGTTTAATCAATAAACGTGAAATTATGAGTTTATTATCAAGTTCTCAACGTTCAGAAACTATTTAAAAAATTCAAAATTATTTTTATATCCACACTAAATCTTACAATATATTCAGAGACCTCGTTAAAATATAATACTCTATAATGCAAAAAAAAAAAAAAAAAAATCAAAACCTTAAGTTGTTTATTTTTGTAGTATATGTACATTTTTAAATGGTCTTACTCGTTCGTTTCTTGTATTAACCGAATAATGTTGAGGGATTATTTAGTTAAAATTACATACTAACATGCGTTTGTGGGTGCCTAAAACGTTTAATTTTATATTCGCACCAAAGAAGTGTTAAATTATTAAAACACAAAGTTATACCTCTGCAAGAAGGGAATCGTTATCACGCTGAAGCGAGTCGCGGCTGCGTTTGAGCGAGTCAAAGTTTGACTTGAGAACGCCATAATCACGTTCAAGCTGCTTTGTCTTCCACCGAGCACGGCGGTTCTGAAACCATATCGCCACTTGTCGAGGTTGCAGCCCAAGCTCTTGAGCCAACTTCACTTTCCTCTCAGGCTCTAACTTGTTATCAATCTCGAAATTCTTTTCTAACGCTTTCACTTGCACTACACTCAACCGCCGCTTTTTCTCCGCCGCGGGGTGCCCAACGCCGATGTCCTCTAGACTTCCATCTTCTTCTAGACCGTCGAACATCTGAGAGTAGTCTCCGGCGCCGGGATAGAGAAAGCCGGTGGCTGTTGGTCGTGGACTTAGTTGTTTGTCTGATAAAAATCATTAATATCACGGCAGTGCTTAAATAATACGTATATATTAATCTGAACGGATAATTAAATCAAATAATTTATAATTTGTTAATAACAATAATTTAAAGAAAATTTGGAATATAGATATGATGTCATGAATGATTACACTAAATTTCAAAACTCTGACAGGATAATGTCTCGATAATATGAATTGTCAGAAAACACATCTTTACCAATTTTTTTAAAAATACCATTATTTCAAAACTCAACTAGTACTTGTAGCTAATTCACATTTTCATTTGTACATAATCAAATTACTAATCAACACCAAGATATGCAGAACTGCAATTTTTTTAAAAAAGTCGTAATAAAATAATTGACCGTAATTAACAGGGTTATTCAAAGAAGTATGTCTTTTTTTTTTACCTGTTGCAGAGTGGCAAATTGGTAAGAAACCGGATAAAGAATCGGAGCTTCCACGTGATCTCTTCATCTTGTTTGGTCGGAAACTATTGAGATCAAGATTTAAGCGGTCTGGATTCAAGAACTACTTAAGAAGGTAGAAAGATTAGAGCGCGTAGATCGGTTTGAATAGTAACGAACGATGTGGATCTATCTACGACCAATACGTGTGGTAATATAGCTCGAAGACACGATCCTCTCTGTCTCTACACTTATCCATTCAAAGATGGAAACAGAGAATTGACCAGAGTTAACTAATTTACCAAGAAATATTCATCTAACACCTTAAATCATCGAATTTTCTCGATCAGGAAAATATATAAATTAGAATGTACAGCAAAGAGGAAAAGAGAAAAGAGTGGGAGAGAGGGAGATGGTCTCACGGTCCCTCTCGGGGTTTTAAATAAGACGACAGCTTAACCCTAGAATATCTTAGAGTTATTCTCAAAAAATTATTTTCAAATATTTTTTTTGAATTTTAATAAAAGACTTAAATGCAAAAACAATTTACAACGGTTAAGTGACTTGCTATAGCTGGTTTATTCATCAGAGTTTGATTCAGGATTTTGATGAAGCAATGGTGTTTTTCAGCTCGGTTACATTTGGAATATGTTAAATTCAGGGTTGTCATAGTTTCCAACTTAAAACTACTTACACATTGGTAAATTAGTTTAATCTTTTATATATTAGTTAATATTTTTTTTTCAGCTTTCGATGTGAGAAGTTTATTCATTCATTAACATTTTCTTTAACACTTTAACATGATTAACTGTGGAAATAAAATCCATAAAATGGTTCAACATCGAGAATTCTGATATTATGTCAAATTCGGATGTTTCGTTACTTTTAAAATTAAATCTGTTGGTGATAATTGTATTGATTCTAACATTTTAATTTGTCCAACTATTAAGGTAAAATTTTCATTTATTTACTAACCTTATTGTGGAAATAATATTTACTGAGTGACCCAATATCGAACAATTCTCATGCAATGTTAAATTTAAGCTTATTATGAATTTCTATTTAAATGAATTGAGGATAAATAAATTGATGATAACTTTTTATTCCTTTCGTTTTTAATAGGTGTCTTTCTTTTTTTTTTTTTTTTTTGATCAAACAATAGATGTCTTTCTAGGTTTCTAAAGATTCATTAAACTAGACTGTAATCATTATTTCTACTTTCTGTAGTTTCTTTTAAAAGAAAACAACCCATCCATTTAGTTTTGTTTCCATCATCAACAAGAAATAATTATAATGGCGTAAATATAAATAACTTAACTAATGAAAATAATTTATCAGTTATATATCTTGATTTTTCAGTTCAAATACTTGCACATAACTAAGAACAAAAGTGTTTTGAAAAAATGTTGACTCCAAATTTTAAAATTGTTTGGAAACAAATTTTAGTGATTAATTATTTTCGGCAACGATTAAGTTAGTATATTATTGGTAAACATAAAAATAGATGATGTATATATTTTATATAATTACTTTTCAATGAGACTCTAATCAAATCATATATGTTCAGTGACATTATTAATAGTATAAGACATGACTCAATATTATTTTCAGATATTTATAATATTTTAGTTGTATGGATTGTGATTGATAAACTAACAGTATAGTTCTAAAAATAAAAAATAACTAACAGTACAGCTTTAGCTTAATTTGAGAAATCATATATACTCCATACCAGTTAGTAGTGAATAGTTTTGCAATAAAGTTAAATCGTGGCTATATTTTGAAATCATATTAACAAAAATTCTGGACTTTCACAATATGAATTACCTAATTTGCTTTCACTTGTATACATTTCTTCTTTGTTTGGACCGACTGATGATATATATGGTAAAAAAATAATTAAAAGGTTTAAGGTTGGCCGAAAACGATTTTCAAAATTACGCGCGGTTTACTAATTTTTTTTTTTTTTTTGCTAACCTAGTATCCGATTACAAAGCGTGATCGACTAGTCCACCGGGCCTAAATCCATGCCATGACAGAATTTTTTAAGCGTCCACTTAAGAGTCCTTGGTTATGCTAAGTAGTCTGGGGCACCACATCAACTCCGCATATTAATTATGTGGTGGCCGGGATTCGAAGTCGGGTGGCAGACACCTCAGCCGAGATTCTATTACCACCAGGCTACGAAACCCGGTTGTGGTTTACTAACATGCAAGTTTTGGATTTCTAAGCAATTTGGGTTTGGAGATACTCTACTATATTCTACCATGTGACTGTTGTGTAGATATATATGAATATATTGCTTTAGATTTATTTGAATATGGAAAGGTGATCAGTCTTTTTTTTCTTTTTTTGATCAAACGAAAGGTGATCAGTCTATGAGAATGATACAGCCTCTAGTAGAAATTAGTTTGAGCATTTTCATAAATTTTGAATTAATATGGGTCTTTCCATAAATTAGTAATATCCTTAAATTAATAAAAAGAACTCTCAACAGTAGAGCTGATATTTTGCTATAAAAATGTCATAATCAATCGTAGTATTAATACGATGGACCAACCATTCATATTAATACAATATAGACCATGGGTCATGGGTGTTACATACAGCAGATACACGTAAAGAAATACTATAAAAAGCTGAAGAAGTCGGTCCAGTAGGTGGCAATGCAAATTGATTTGCTTTAACCCACAAGATTTTTATAGGTATCAATGTGGGTCAGCATTTCATTAATTTATATGGTAAATTCGATGCACAAGTTATAAAGTAAATTTTTTTTATCGAAAAAGTTATAAAGTAATTACCCAAAAAGATATTGTAATAGTATTAGTCATTCGCCTTTTTAAACTATGGATCTCTGTTGCTAATGTATGTACATTTATAGATTAATAATCGTGATTGGATTCAAAAACGGATTAATAGTTGTACACACAAACATGTACGTATTTTTGTTTGATTTACTAAAGAGTGTGTCGTGTACAAATGATATTCACAAGCTGCAGAATATTTTAAAATCGATAATGGGAAAGGCGACAGAGCTTTGATGAGATAGCTGTGTATGTCTCTGCAACGATTTTGCCCATTTGCTACAAAATGTTATTTTAGTGCTGCAGTAGTATTTTATTAATTAAAATTACACATGTTTTGGTAAATTTATTCATACAAAAGGAATTCGGAAGCAATCCTGCGAATACTTTTTTTAAACATGGTTTATATTTGCTAGCTCTATGGATAATATGAAAGTTTTGTGATTTGGTTTGTCCCTTATACGTAAATCTTTTTTACCAGGAAAATAAATGTCTATCTAATCGACAAATCCAGTTATTGAACCTCTATATTTCTTTGGAAAAAATAAATAAAGAGTGTATATTCGTAATTCATAGTCATTTGTTTGTATGTTACATATTAACATGATGATATCGTGTATATCCATCTAAAGTCGTCAAATGGAAAAGCCTAAAATAAAAGAGGGGTGGTGTTTCTTTAAATTAAGAATCATATAACCTTATTATATTCGGTGTTTGGTTGATGAGCTGGTTATCCTATGAAAGCAACTAATTCCACTACATTCTTGATGCTTTTTTTTTTGTCTTCTAGAACACTGATCGCGACACGAACGATCATTAACATAATTTTAGAGAAAACGAAAAACCTGAAATATACCGTCTTCAATCTATCATGTAAGAAAAATATTGTCTAGTACTAATAAACATGCAAAAGATAACTTTACCAAATATACGTTTATTCATTGCTTTCTTACTTAATATTTACCGAAATGGAGTTGCTTTCTTACTTCCAGGCCCCTTAGTTGTTTCTTAACGACTAAATTTTGATCCAATTGCTATTAAGTATCCCCGCTGATGCATATGTTTGGATCCTCCCTATTGATTGTTTTCTCCATTCTTCTAAGTTCTAATCGATAGTGTGTTAAAACTTGTTAAATTGTATTTTTTTTTAAATGATGAATATTGACTCTGGAAGTAAATTTGAAGCGTATAAAAAAGCTTGTTGACATACATATGCAATGTAAAAATGGATATTTATTATCCATATACATATTGCATACACAATAGATTCTTTTTTTCTCAAATTTTCTCCATCTGTAAATCGAGAAAGAGAAAAGGTAAAATACTTTCATGACTTCAATGTTTAAGCAAGCAATTTGTAAGTAAATTTAACCATATAATCCAGAGATATAATCTATATATATTATCTTTAGTTCTTTATAGAAGCTACAATTCCAAAGTTTGTTAATGTAAACAACGTTTACTTTTCCCCTCTTTAGGCCTACCAAAAAGGTCAATCCTCCTTGTGAATTCTTCTAACGACTTCATGCACTGCATTTGCCATCTCATTAGCTGTAGTCATTAATTGAGAGTCTTCACCTACCTAATCCAGGAGAACAATTACGTACATAATCAGATATCTAGTTGATTATAAGCCTGAATATAGTCTATGTTAATCATTTAATTAATTGTTATAATTTCCCATAAATAAAAGAGGAAAGATATACCTTGACGCTAAAAGTGAAAAGAGACTTGTTATTGGAAGTTGCGAGGTTGACATGAAGTATACTTAAACCTAAGGAGTCAAACGCATTAATCATCTTGAACATCAATCTTGGGCGTGTCTTTGTTAACACTTTAATGTTAGCATGCATTTCGACCATAGTAACTTCCACGTCAGCAACCAGCGCTAGTCGGTCGTGGTGGTGATGGCGGCTCGAGGCGGTGGAGTACTGAGGGAAGTTGAAGAAGTGGGAGAATATGTTTGTCGATTGATTGGGTTTTAGTTGGGCTTCGAGTGATTGAAGAAGCTGTTCTTGCTTCTTTAAATATCTAATTGTCCCCTCTATGATTGATGCTTGGTCACTCTATTAACAAAACCGAAAAACAAGTTAATTAATAGGGTTAATTTACTATGTAACCAATAAATATAAAATAAAGAATATAAATAATTAATATTTTAAATAAAATAACATCAAAATTGTGAATATACCAAGATAATTTACCTTTTAATTTCCATTCTATTTTGTATAAATTATTTTAAATTTTACACATAAAGTTTTTGAAAGAAAAAAGAAAAATTTGACGTTGTGTTTTTGATTGGCTGTAACACATGTACTTGCAATTGCTTAGCGTTCACTGATGTCTTATACACCCAACCATTAGCCTAAATGATATATATACTCACACGTTGAGAATAAGAGGGAGGCATCATAGATTTGAGAATGGATAGAAAATGATTCATCTGTCTTCTTCGGTTACGCTCGACGGCGATATGATTCATCCTTTGGTTCTCTTTCTCTTCTATCAAGTGATCACTTCTCATTCTCCTCCTCCTCCTCCTTTTCCGCGGTGGTTCTTCACTGAAACCACCACGTGCTTGTTGCTCTGCTAAGACTTTGTAGCTTGATGATGTTTCCATGAGTGAGAAGCCATATGGATACTCTTGTTGAAACATCATAGTCTCTACTCTCTCTCTTTGTCGATCAAACTAAACGAACACAAAAGTTGGGAGGCTAATGCATAAAGTTAAGTTAATGGATATCTAATGATCTTGGATGGATTTAGTAATAAGTTTTCTCAGACTTTATGTAAGAAATGTATCCCAAGCTGGAGAGTAGAGACTAAAGTATAAAACTTAAAGAATCTGAGGTAAGTGTTTTAGACTTTTAGTAATAAATATTATAGCTGTCGTTTGCTAATTGGTGATCTTCAGACAAAACGACCCTACACTCGTGTAATTATCACTAATTAACAACCTAATTTCAATGCTGGTTTTGGGGTTCAACACGATTTTAAAAAGGGTACTTAATAATTGGTGCAATTTCATTATCGGTATGAACGCCCATTATTTTAGTATTAGTTTGTCACATTTTACGCGTTTGTATTCGTCATAAAATCTTTTATTATCCTTCCCGAATCTTGTACGTTTGACTAATACATGTAGGACTGTATAAGGTTTATCAGAAATTTCAAAATGTTACAGATAAAACTGTTTGTTATGATTGTTTGTTGTGGAAAAGGTCTGTCTATCGAAAATGTTGTATATTCATAACCATCCGTCGATATAAGTGTGACGACAAAAACTATATCATGAAATCGTTATTCAAAATTGATCATCAATCGCATATGTTTCAGTTCGTTTAGAACTTTCTATCATACATAATAGAAATATATAATATTGTGATTAAAGATTGGGAAGATTTGACTAATGTTAAAATGTTGTAATTTGTTTTGAAAAATGGTTCTAAGAGACGGCTAAAAATTTCCATTTTGATTAAGGAAATGTTCTTCTAAACAATCAAAAGATTAATTAAGGAAATATTCTTCTATACAATGAAAAATATTAATTAAGGAAATATTCTTCTATACAACTGAAAGATTTTATAAAGGAAATATGAGTAAATATGGAAATAAAACATTGATTTTGCTATTAATAATGATGTGAGATCCGTAGGAGCCAAGAACCCTATATAACATATTCAACCTCACAAAGTTTCTCTCTCACTTTCATTATTCTTTTTCTTCGTGTTGTCTTGAGAGAGACAAACCCTAGCTTCTTTGCGAATCAAGAAACCTCTCACCATGCGAGCTTCTTCTTCTTCGTCTTCTAACTCACTTGCTGCAACCAGTTTGAGCAATAGACTAAAGACCATCTTCAAGAAAGCTTCCGAGCTTTCTATCCTGTGTCAAGTTGCGGTTAGTGTCATCTATTACGGACCAAACGGTGAATTGAAAACATGGCCTAAAGAAAGAGAGGCAGTGAGAGACATGGCCTTAAAGTATAAGGCGGCCACGAAACGCAAGAAGAGCTCCAATCTTCGTGATTTCTTGGAAGGCAAGTTAGATAATGATAAGAATTTGAAGAAGAAGAATAATAAGAAGAAGACTAAGAGAGAGTTGGAGAATGTTAAGTATCCAGATTGGTATCCAGTTCTTGATAATTACTCTCCCGACCAGCTACATGAACTGGTTCTGTCCTTACAAGGGACACTCTCTACTATGGAGGAAAGGATTCATTTACTTGAGGAGCAAAAACAGAAGAACACAAACTTGGTTCAGCAGAATTGTCATGATCAATATCAGACAGTGCAACCCTTGAACCCTAGCCAGTACTCTCTGTATCTGTTTAACCGTGACGATGCTACTCTCTCACAACTCCCACTCTCTTCATCACATTCCAACCAACTCATCAACTACCAAAATCACTTGAGGATGCAGCAGCAGAGGCTTTGCGTCTCTAACAAGGAAGATCACCCAGCTTTACTTGCAGTGCAAGATTCTAGGTTGAAGAATCAGTTGATGCAGCAGCAGGAGCTTCATGGTTCTCATCATAACATGTGTATGATAAGTAATACATCCAACAGTGACGCTCTACTACATCCTTGTCCCTTAAACACAATTCCAAAGGAGTTTTCTTTTGATCTCCAGAAGAATTCTAATGGTGATGTGGTAGGTAGACCTAAGTTCTCTCTAGATTTTCCAAATTTGTGTTTACCCTATGATGAGAGCCGTCAGCTTCAGAAATCTTCTCAACCATCTCTCCACCAAACCATTCCTAACATTAACCTTATTCCTGACAACTCAAGATGTCTCTGAAGTTGAAACAGTTACTTCCTTGAGGTCATGGTGAAGAAGTGGAGGGCTGTTTCTTCATCTAGGTTCCTCCTGAAATACTTTTAATTTTTGAACCTATAATTATAATAGCAAAATAGATATATTAGTATAGATTTTTGTTTTGAATTTTTAGTTTTTTTTCGAAGTTTAATATGTTTATTCATTATTGTAACGCTGATTTATTATACTATTACTTATGAGAAAGATTATCTTAACGATTCTATAACCGATAATTTTATTTGATCCGTCTAACTACACTACATTGAACCGTCTTATGAAGATCTAGCTCTGATCGGTTCCACTTGCATCATATGAAGATCCTATGTGATTTTTCTTCCGTTATTTTGTGTAATTGTTAATAATCATTTTTAATGACTCAAAACCTGGACTTCCAGGTTTAAAAGCATGAAATTTTAATGAAACCTTGGATTAAAGAGGCTTCCATGATAATGTTTTTATCTATATATATGCACATCCATCTAAAACAATGAGAAGTGAAAAAGGTTTCAGATGCCTTCAGTGACAAGAATGTTATCAATATATGAGTTCATCATAGATTCCACCATGCACTTGCAAAGTCAAATCCATTACTCTTGCATCTTAAAGTATTCAGTCCTCCACCTTAGGGTTGAGACTTTGAACCGAACTGAACTCGCCAAACATAACATAACCAAGATTTTTGGTTAAATTGGTTAGGAGTATAATTCAATTTGGTAGGTATTTTTTTTAAAGTTCGGTTTTGGGTTTGGTCCGGTTTCTATCCGGTTTAGCAATCAGTTAATTCGGTGTCTTAAGAAAAAAAAAATTATACCCAAACCATACTAGAAACTGAACCAAATTAATCAAATTTCAAACCCAACTAATCAAACTAACCAAAATTATCCAAAATTTTAACAAAAAAAAATATAACTGAAATTAAAACTTTGGTAGGACTTTTATAAACAAAACTACCCGAATACTGAACCGAAACGAATCGAATTTTATTTGGGTTAATTTGGTAAGATTTATGTTGAATCGAATTAACTGAAAACCGAACTAGCTGAACCTACATGCTTACTCCACCTGATTTTTAGGGCCCATTGTTAAAGAGACTCAACTTCCATTTCATTTGTTATGTTGATGGCCCAGTTACTTGTAATAAAGTCTGTTTGCTATTTACCCATCAACTATTCCCGCGGCAAGCGAACGCTAATTCTAATCGTAAATAAGAGTTTGAACGTTTTAATGTTATCGGTTTGAATATATAAAAGTTGAATAGTACTGTACTACATCAAATGCTGTGATTTGTAACATGTGTTGATCTTTCTTATGGCTAAAAACAAAGAACACTGGAAAGACAAAGGGAATCAACAACAGCTATGACAACCAGCTTGCCATTTTCTCTAACACACAACACAATAAAAGTATAAAGTCACGCATGAATTATTTTGTAATATACGTAAATTATTTTGGTCATCTAAATTAATATTTTAGTTTAAAGTTGTTAGTGATCTTGTAGTGATGGATTCGCCGCGTGGACTCTTATTCTTCTCCCATGATAAGTTTCGACACTAGTTGACCTCCTCAACACACGTACGAGTTTTTCTTTATTTAAGGGAAAAAATACTATTAGTTTATTGTTTTGAAATATAAAATGATTTTATCTAAAAGTGTGGAGTTTTAAAAATAAATGTTTTTCCTTTTTTTATAAAACAAATCATCAATTAATGTTTTCTTTTGTTAGTTTAACTACTAGCTGACAAAAGTTTTTAACTAATAGCTTACATTTCAATTTGCGTATAAATATAATTGATATAATTATATCATAAAGCAAAACAAAAAATTCTTATAATGTTATGATTAAGAACGATCTACTATGTAAATGCGTATAATTCATTTCTTGTTATTTATATAACAATTATCATGTTTGATTTGTATGCCTACACATTCTATAAAAAAAATTTCCAACGAAAATTATTAACTTTATTCCCAAAATTATTGACAATAATAGAAAGCAAATGTAAACATATACACATAGATATAGATGATTAAAAATCCTTTGCATAACAATAAACACATGAATACACATGGGCACCACTACTGCATACAAAAATTGAGAGCATCAAACGCCATGCTTATTACATTTTCATCTAATTAAGCATAGCTAAAAAAATATTTTCGAGAAAAAAGAACCAAAAACACAAGAAAGTCGAATAATCCCAATATATTGTATGTAAGTGCACGTCCATGCTGTAAACACAATGATCCAAGATCATTGTCTTGACGATCTGAGAAAGAAGATACTTAGTTCTTGTCCGATAATCCCACGTGGGTCGATGAGATGAAAAGATTCCGAATCAAACGATCCAAAAACTCGTTTGAAACTAGCTCTTAAGTACATCATATGATCACTCTTATCTCGGTTGATCTCTTCTCCATTAACAACTCCGGCTCCTTCAGTCACCGGAGTAAGCACCTTCAACGCGGCTAGCTCAGCTTTTGAAGGCTCTCGTTTGATGGCAAAACCAACTTTCCGACCGTTGCAATACATGTTCCATAAAGGTGTCGTAAGAAGAGGAAAAGAAGAAGAATCTTGATGTGAATCATACCCATCCTTATTGTTTGATTCAAGAGCAATTCTTAGCACGCCTCCTCGCATTTCGCGGGCTAATACCTCGGTAGGGACGGTGAGTTCTAAAAGGACGATTATTGGATTTAGGGTTTTGGAGTTTGTTGCTTGGATGCAGAAGTTTACTTTGCCATGGTGGAAACTAAAGATTGTTCCGGTGAAAGATGAGGAGTTTGTGGTAGCGGAAGAGGTTCTTGGTTTGGTTAGGCGGTGAGATTTGTCTTCTTGATTATCATTTGGATCTACGAGTGTACAGTAGCAAGATGGGATGAGAAGTTGGACGATGGTGCGAAGGAGCCGCCATGAACGGACTTGTTTATGGCAGTCTACGGTTGCGGTTGTGGTGGTTGCCGCCAGGCGGCGACAGTGAGGGCTTGTGATGAAGGACATATTTTATTTTCAAGCTGTGGGAAAATGATGGTAATTATGTGTCTTCTGGTTTAGGTGGTATGGGTATATATAGAGAAATTGTCATGAAAAGAAAGTGATATGTGCTTTTGTTAAGATTATTGACGTTGTCACTAAGAAGATAATTATAGTATTATACATTGACAATTACTTATATAATATAGTTTACGTGTGTACTGATAGTTGAGCTTTAACAACTAAAATATTAGACGTAAATATTTTAAAAGTATATAGGTTTGATTGTAGAATGTGACGGTACTTATTAACTTTATAATGGAAAGTTTGAGAGATGTTGGCTATACTATCTATTATCAATTACATAGTATAATATACAAACACTAATTTCTGTCAGATGATTAATGTATTTACTGTTATATAGTTTTAAATATTTTAAATTCATGCAGTTACGTAACATATAGTAATGTTTTGCTGAATGTTAATGAATATATTGTTATATATAGTTTTGAAAATTTTAAAATTCACGCGGTTGATTATATTGACTGATTGGCATTATTGAAGGCTATAATCGAATGAGACGGTGGCCTTGAGACGGTGGCCTAGGAAACTTCTGTACCAGTACAACCACAGTGGACATGTATCCAATCATTGGATCAATATCCGCCATTTTACCTTATTTATAAGTAGCAAGAGTTAAGTAATCTATAGAGTTTTTTTTGTCTATCTAATGCTTATATGCTCGTGCATACTTAAACAATAGTATTGCTTCTAATTTTAGTAAACGATAGCAATAACTTTCTGATATATGAATCCACACTTTTGTTTTATTTTCTTGCGTACACTTAGCGGTTACCTAGCTCATATACGCTTAATTTATGTTACTTTCCAAGACCTACTAACATGAGTATTGTCAGTATAAACTTTTATTTAACATGTTCATTTATTGATATTAAATTGAGCACAAGACTTGGTACAACAAATTTACAACAATGGTATATACAAGATCACCATAAGCACACATGGATGTATACCTAAATAATAATCATCAACAATATTAACTCTTATTCTGGAGTATTCCTCCTACAAATTGATATAAGATTCACCATTGAGGGATTGAACTTTTTAATATCTCATCCTGGTATTTATATGTGGTTAATTTATCTCAATTTTTATGACAAACCCTAAATGGACAAACAAAAACTTATAAATAAACGACAAAGCCGAATTAACCGTCTATTCGACCATCGACAAGGATTGATCATATGGGCTGAAGTTGTTACCCATTTCGTTACCCATCATTGGCATAATATATTCCTCAAGGTTCCCACCATATGTGATTTTGTAATATTTTATTTTATAAGTAAGAATAATATTCTCGAATACTATAGGTGAAAACAGTAAGGCTAATTTTGAGTACAACCTGATAAACATTCGTTTTGATCCTCAGCTTTCAAAAAAAGTTATTATAAATAGGTCGTATGATCGAAATATTTATTAAAATGAACTTAAAAATGTTTACAACCTCCTTAAACTTAGATCTAATTCTCAAAACACTATACACTGTTGCAGTCTTTTGATTAGATAAGCATTAAGAATTGATCTTCTTCTTCTTCTTTTTTTAACTACCAGGAATTGATCATATGATCACTGGACTTAAGAAGTCGATCTGACCTCACTAGGTAAGTGAAGTCACCTGACAGTTGACACTTGACATGTTTACTTTCTTTTAACTTTTAACTCTTGTTTCAAGAATTTATCTTCGCCTTGGAGCATTAGCTTTTTCCCTTTGTAACAACGACGGATGTTGGAGAATGCATTGTTGTTTTGCGGTTTGGTTCTTTCCACTAGAAAGCATTAGATGATTATCAAAACATGTAAATTTTTAAAATTATGGATACTTACAAAAGAAATGACAAGACGACATATCATTTGTCCCAAATTTATTCGGCAGTCCAAGAGCCTGTTTTGGATTTTCTTATCCTTTTTGGCAATTTATCGTTTGTTCTTGTCATCTAAAACCACGCTATCGTACAAACAAGTACGAAACAAAAACACAATTAACTCATATAATCACGCCTTTATTAATCAACATTAGGATTAAGGAACCACGCTTAAGAATTTTTTTATCAACCTCCAACGACAATTACATTAATACATATTGTATAAAGAGATTATAAATAATAATAAACCGACTGTTTATGGATCTTTGCTCAAATTGAATTGCACATGCCACGACCAGTGGCGGAGCCACATGGTGAGTGGGTGGGGCATCCGCCCCGGATGATTTTTTAAAATTCTATGTAAAATTTTGATAATGATCTTCATGCCCCGGTTAATTCTTTAAAGAATTTTGATAATGCCACCCGTAACATTTATCTCTAGATCCGCCCCTGGCCACGACCCATGAAGATGGCTAGATGAGAAAGTGTTTAAGTCATATTCAACCAAATATCTAGAGGAAATATTTCTGGAAAATAATAGATTTTCTCTAAAGATCTCAATATTAAGCATTCTAATTTCTGGTGTTCCAATTTTTGTAATAGTGCAAATGATTCAAATGGAAAGAAGAAGAAAGAGAGCACATATCCAATTATCCAGTCTAATGCGCAAAGATATAAATGTTATGCAACCATAGCATAGCATAGATTCATAGACTCCCACCAACATAAACGAAAACTGAAAGCTCATCAAAAACCCAAGAACACAATATAAATATTACTATAATTCTCTCGTCTGATCCTCCTCACTTTGTGGATATCTTTAGGATCATAATAGTAACACTTTGTATTTTCGAGTAGCCCAACCAACTTACACTTTCATATCTAAGCCATGCTTTACTTGAGCTTTACTGTACTCCTTCACTGAAAGCCACGCTAAGGTAATGGATTTGAGAGATCATGTTAGTGTTACTTGCACGATGTAAAAAGCGAAACCTTGATAATAAGCATTCTTTGCGTTCATCATAAGCAAATTTGATTGGTCCGTTTACAATATTGCCGCGCATGTACTTACATTGTTTTGGCATGGTAACTGACTGTAAAGTTTTGAATGTTTATACGTATCTTTTACTTAATAATTCAATCAATTGTAATGCATGCATGCATGCAGGGTATTGTATTGAAAGGGAGACTCTATTTTAATAGGATACTAGATCTTTACCCGCGCAACCGCGCGAGTATTACTTTCAATTTTATATACATATGTTATTTATTTATGAATATATATTTTTAACGTTGAACATATATTTAAATGTTTATATAAATGTATTGTTAGTTTTAAGATGTTTTTATGTATTAAGAGAATGAAAATGGAAATTAAATATGGTTGTTAAGATTTTATTATACAAATACAAAAGATAAGGTTACAACTTTTCTAAGGAAGGATCCATTTTAAAAATATCACACATGAAGAGAAGTTGTGACTTCTCTTTTAATATAATAGATTTTCGAAAATAATATAAGATCCAGTCTGAAATTCTAACTAGTATATGTACTTACAATATGATAATTGATATAAGAAATGTATGTGCAGGGCCGGCTCAATGGTGTCATAGGCCATGGGGCAATTTTTTTTTTTTTTTTATAATTTCCAAACTAATACTTTTCTTTAAAAAATCTGATAGATATTTATTTTTTTCAAAATACCAGAAGTATTTTTAAAAATAAAACTAACATAAAATAAAAATACTTTCATATAAAAAATTTGGGTTCTTTTTATTAATTTTTAATATAAAATATATGTATTATTAGAAAAATCGGATCTTAATCTATTAAAAAATAGGGGGATAACGGATTGGATCCAGGGTGGTCGCACCATTTATCCCCCTATCTAAAGGGGCCCTATGTGATCTTACACTATAATTAATTCAAGAAAAAATATATATACTGAGAGAAACCTTGCAATGCTACAAAACACAAACCCACATTGCTCAAGATACAAACATTTCAGAAAGATAAAATAGCTTAAACAATAAATTGATCAAATGGGAAAATTCACAACCTTGAGAGGCATACTAAAAGACGAAGCCTCGCAAATGAAACTCAATATGACTCATACCTCACATAAACCACCTTCGGACAAATACGTCAATCTCCTCCAATCGACGATTGACACGCGTTACGGTCCTGAGACAATCGCTGCGGTGGTGGAGAAGTTGCGTTTGACGACGGACGTGTGTGTGGCAGCTAAATGTCTCATTCTTCTCCATAAGATGTCTAGATCAGAAAATGGACATAAAGGAGAAGGTAGTGTTCATGTGACTAGTCGTAATTTGATCTATAAACAAGGAGGTAGACATTTAAAATTGAATGATCTGAATGGCGATTCATCTCGTTTTACTAGAGAGTAGTATCCATGGGTTCAATGGTAAGATATATATGTACCGAGTTTATTATAATTTTGGTGGAGATTAGAAAGATTGATGTAGATATTGACAAAAATCAGTGAAATATAACCAAATTTAGTCATAATTTTTTTGATAAATGTAGTCTTAGAATTTTTTTTGATATATGTAGTCTTAGGATTTTTTTTTGTTTGTTTTGATAAATATAGTCTCAAGATATTATTTTATTTCTGATAAACGTAATCTTTAAGATTTATTTTTCCTTTTTGCTTAACGTGGTCTTAAGATTAAGAGTTGTTCTTTTTAATAGATACAAACAATACCTAGATTGTTACTTACATATTGGGGAGGTTTTAGGTGTTACTCTAAACATAAAAGAAAGTTCAGAAGATGAGCGTTTGGAGACTCAACGAGTCTCGTCTTATAGAACAGATTGCATTTACAAACAAATCGGTTTGTTGGTGGATCTGTTCGAAAATATTAGTGGCCAGCCAGAAACTACAACATCGAAATCGAACAAAATCGTTATTAAGATGAGAGAACTAATGGTACAAGACTGCTTCACGGTCATGAGATTGACCAAGATAAGGTTTGAAGAATTGAATGCGAGAAAAGCTAAACCGGACGAGATGGTTTTGGTTTTGGTGAGGCTTGAAAAGTGTAAGGAGGCTTTGAGCGACTTTTCTTGGCAGCGCAAGTATTTGGTTGAAGATTTTTGGTGTTTGGTTTTGAAGTTAAAACAAGGGTAATGTTAGAAGACAAAATACATGTTGGATGAAAAACCTAACCTAATCAGTTAATAAACTCTTATCTGTGTTACAAAAAAAAAAAAAAAAAACTCTTATCTTATAGTGATAGACTGATAGCTTATAAAATAAAATTACCAGTCTTGTCCAGTAAGTAACTCACTAACTGCTTAGAGATTCTATGATACTTGAACCGGTTCTAGATAAATTGTAGAACACACTTGACTTATTGGGTTTTGCTGACAAAATGTTTACAAAGACAACACATAGATAAGAAAATTATGCTGAAATGTTTCAAGAAATCTTCATTCTATTGTTTTGGACCATTTGTTAACACGTGCTTGTGCAATCTGCGCCTGCAAATTTTGCCAAACAAAAACTAATAAATGTGTTGTTGGGAAAACTCCGAATCCCAACATGTTGGGCTCTAAGAAATTACAACATAATTTACCTCTTTTTCCCATTCACATCTCATTGTGATCAAAATTAAAATTATTGTCTGAACTGCGGTTCCTCCAAATATCATACCAGCCCAAATACCCTACAAACAAGTAAATTTTCACAATATATTATCATAATCAGTAATCCCAATTTATATAAATGATATTAATAAATAAAAAGAAGAAGAATGTAAATACTATACCATGACACCGAACTTCAAAATCCAACCCATTAAAATTCCAAGTGGAATTCCAATACAATAGTAACATCCTAAGTTTATATAGGCAACGTAGGATTGCCAACCGGATCCAACCGCCACACCTACTCAAGTGAAAATCATCACAACAACGTTGATTTGGTATATAACAGAAATTTATAAACCTGTAAGAATAATAATAAACTGTAACGTACCGGATAGTACCGGTTGAACGCTATTAAGAAAAACGGTGAGAGCTAATAGAACAGTGAGTTTTATTAACGGCTGCTAACACGGCTTCGCTTGATGAGAAGATCCAAGCAATTTGGTTATGGAAAAGCATTATTACCACCCAAAAGAATAATCCGATTATTAACGATTGTGTCACAGATACAATCGTTGCAAATCTTGCTCCTTTTCCATTCCCTGCTCCTAGTTCGTTCGCCACACGTACACTGCAAATAGTTAATGTATAAGATCAGCCAAGTATAATCAGTTTAAAAGTATAATATATCACACACTGTCTTTTAAATGAAGTGTAACTAATCCAACACATATATATTAGTTGATTGGGCCAGTCTTTAGGATCTTTATTCAACTAAATTTTGTAAATATTTAACATTTTTATATAAAAATATATATGTATAAAAAAATAAAATATTGGGTCTCTTAATTATTAAGATCGAGGGACACAGATTTGGTGGGAGGTCGCACCGTTTGTCCCCCATATAAGTCGGCACCGGATCTAACTAGCCAAAAATGCCAAATCTTAGGTTTCAGTATCCTAAGTTTATCAGAAAAAAAAAGTTCCTTCAAAAATATATCCTACTCCTGACGTAATAGAAGATATGAAATGTTTTGAAAATAGTTGGTTTAGAAGAAAAAAAGAAGATATGTTATGTTTTCTTGCGAATTTCATGTTTACGGATAATCTATAATAAACAGCACAATGGTAACTTTGTCAACGTAAATTGACAGTCCACCTGAAAGCCGATGTGGCCTTTACTAACCTGATATTATATAACGTTTTTTATATTTTGTTTAAAACGACGTGATTCACGACAATAAGAAACGAGTAAATACTTTATAATTTCATGGGCTCCATGTAACGACCAAATAAAGCAAATGATATAATAAAGAAAATATATCACTCAAAGACAGTTTTGAGTTTTTTATTTCAAGAAAAGACAGTTTATGCTCCTAGAGTAGTTTTTTCTAACTTATTCCATCTGTTTTCAACTAAACCAACTAAAAAGTATAAAGTAATAGGACCCACTTCTCTTTCATCTTCCAATCTTCTTATTTTCGTTCTCGTATTTTTTTATGCATTTTTACCTGAAATGGTCAAATCAAAGTCTTTTTTATATTACAAAACTAAATCACTACGTTTATGGTTTTTCTCAAGCTTCGGTGGAGGATCCGTTTTCGCCTAAAAACCAGTTCAACCGGAATCCCATCGCTGACATGGTCCTCTGCCATGACGAACTCGTGCTCGGGCTCATCAGATTTATATGTAAATCTCTGATTTCTTTTTTTATACGATTCTAAAAAAACCAGTTCATGCCCCATCTCGAAGCTATACTGAAGATCAAGTCGTCCGTGTCGTAACTCTCCTGCCTGTGTTCAAAAACGCAGCAGTAATGGTCATAAATCAAGGAATAAACACTTACCGGACATGAACAAAAAGTGTTGTTTATAATCAGTTAAAACTCAATTTTTTTAAAAAGTTATTTCTTTAATTTTTTCGGTTAATCTAAACGAGATTTGTAAGTTTTTGTGTTAAAACCGCAAAGAAAATGATGATTAAGTGAAAAGAAACTGATGGCGGCTTGAATTGAAAGTTGTAGAGTTTTCTGTAACCTAAAAGGAAGAAGACAAGTTATTTACAAAAATGCCACTCATTAAAGACATGTTGCATAGTGGTTGTGGACTTTAACGATGTGTACACTGTTGTAGCGATATAATTTTGTACACTATTGTACCGATATTCGTGTACACCGTTGTAAATGGTATTTGTGTACATCAAAGTAATGATATTTAACCCATCTTCCCGTGTACACTATTGTAACGATATCTATGTACATCGTTGTACATGTGTACGGTAAATATGGTAGTGTACATATATAAAAGAACCAGAAATGAATCAAGCTAATACCTACCATGAATCTAGCATGAAAACACACACATAACACATACACTAATTAGAAACTCTTAAACAAGGTGTGAAAGATGATATATGGGTTCAGTCAGATTTCAAAGATGCCCTGACACTGCATGTACATGGGAAGAAAGAAAAAAAATTCACATATACATTGTGTTAACAGTTCGTGAAATCGTAAAAGCTTATTGTGGTTGGAAACCTACAAAAATGTCAAAAATGGATACACACTCACTTTGATGTATAACACGAAATTAGGTGTACACATGTACAATTTAAATGTAATGTACACACGATTGTAGACCAGAAACCCTAATCTCCGCCTCTGGTTTACATGTACATGTGTGTTATATTTATTTCTTATAGTTAAAAATCATAGAACATATATATACAAAAAAACTAGTCATATGTACATAGATATTAGATACTGAAATATACACATGTACATCAATGTGTACATACAAAACTACTTATGTGTACATAAACAAAATCTCATGTTGGGTTTGTACACATGCAATCATGTACACTTATACATATATATTCATGTTGTTTAATTCACGTAAAACCAACATGAGATTTCGTTTATGTACACATGAGTAGTTTTGTATGTACACATCGATATACATGTGTATATTTTGGTATCTAATATCTATGTACATATGAGACTGAAGTTTTGGAAGTGGAAATGTGAGTAAGCGGACACATCAATGTATATATTTACGAAATACATAAACTTGTGAAGACGTACACATGTATACATGGTTATGGTACATTATTTTAATAATAAAGAGTGTACATATGTGATGATGTACACATGCAGACATATAATTGTACACATGTAAATTTTAGTTTTTGCTTTAAATAATGTACACATATGACGAGTGTACATTGTTTTAATAATAACGTGTACATATGTAAAGATGTACACATGTACACATATAATTGTACACATTTTATTAAAATAAGTGGCAATTTTGTAATTAAGTCATCTTCTTCCTATTAGGGTATCTTTCGTTTCTGCAACTCAAGCTCAGAGCCGCCATTGATTTTTCTTCATGCAATATTCACTTTTTTTAATCTCAGGAACTTAAAAATTATTGTAGTCCTTAATCAATTAGATCCAAAAAAAGAAATGAAAAACAAATTTTCTCAGATTTTTAAAATTTTGATAGATTATAACCAAAACTCCATAGGTCTTCTTTGTCCAGCATCAACCCGCTTGGATTCGAGCATGACGATTACGACGCAAGGATTGCGTCTATCTGAACCTGTTGCGACGAAGAGGAGAGTTCATTACAATAGCAGAGATAGGTTATAGAATAAAAATGGAGGAAGAACCTTGGCTGTGGTGCTTGCAGCTCCAAAAAAATGATACATAGTGATGAATCACGAGAAGAAAAAGTCAGATCTTTTTTTTTTTTTTTTTTTAAATTAATTGTTAACTTAAACCAAAAGAAACTAAACTAGTAAACTCTAGTTTTCATTTAGTTAGAAAAAACTGTCTCTATAGCAATAACTGCCTTTTTATGATATAAAAACTCAACAACTGCCTTTTTACGAAATAAACTCTATAATAAATATGAATGTGTACTAGGACCGGCCTTAAGATTTCGGGGACCTAAGATGATATTTTAACGATTTCAATTAATTTTTTTTTGTTAGGGTAGCTAGATCACAATCAGTGGCGAATCTACAACATTCACAACATTCAGGAAGAAGGCAACTGTCCCACAAAAATATACAAATGGATTTATTTACACATAACTAGTGCTTGATTCAACAGTTCAGATGATAAAATCCTTATGATGGTCCCATTGGTGCATGGTTCGAATATCTATTTGCTCCCATCAACCTACCTTTTTTTGTTTTATTATATTTATTTTTTATTTTTTTTCACATGTCATTTACTACCACTTATTTTCCTATGTTTTCTTTCCTTCAATCTTTTTGTTCATTATTTTTTTTATATCATTCAGGCTCAATTTCTATGTTTTGTTTTTAACATTTATTCTATTATTTTATATTTCAGTTTATTTTGTTGGTGATTCATTTTCTAATTTAAAAAAATAAAAATTTAGTTGTATTACTTTAATTCTTTTTACAATTTTAAATATTAAATATAAATATATTAATTAATTAATTGCATTTGTTCTCAGTAAAATTATTTTCTGAATCCGCCACTGATCACAATCATAATTCGGGTTTGGAATCAGCAAATATAATGAAGGGGTTTTTACCCGGTTCCGGCGAAGAAAGCAAGGGGAATCATCATCTCCCATCCATTTATCGACATGCTGCCAAAAGTAGACGTGGAAACGATGTGATCATATCATATATAAGATTATATGATTGTTGACCTTTTCTTCTATCATTGTAGAAAAAAGAACTAAGAAATTAACGTAAACAAAACAAAAACATGCATACGATGTAGAGAAACGACTTACCATATAGACAAAGAGTCAACGGCTATTCGAGCATTCTGAAGATTTCCAGTCATTAGAATCAAAATCCGGTAATACCAATTTTCTAAACTGTCCAGAAACCAAATTATCTACCGTCAAAAGATTGTGTCTGGCTTATTGGAAAATGTCACAAAAACATGTTATCATAGGTACCAAAGCATGACGCCGGAAGAAGCGGAGAGTTTGAGAAACTCCCAAAGCCCGGTGAAGGCTTCGGAAGAGAAGCCTGTCCAAGTGAGGGGACAGCCGCCACAAACGGCGTAAGCTAATATAATAAGAACGTTGACCCACCAAGAGATGCTAACAGTAACCATAATGCCAACTACTCCGAGTTTAAGCCCATCTACGAACAACCAACTCACTAAAAAGTGAACCACTAATGAAACCGCAGCCGCATACGCAGGCACCTAATTAATAACTCCCAAAAACGATTTGTTAAAAAAATGTCATCTAAGAAATAATTATTATGAACAATTTTCCAATTAGTAAACAAACTTTTAGAAATTTTTACATGGTTTTTGAGCTGACACTGGAGGAAACGTTGAAGGGGGAAGGACAGAGGGTAAGCGAAATGAAGAGGGATGGCCCATACAGACACGACGCCAGAAAGCTCAGCTATATCGTCTGGTTGACCGATAAATTTGAGAACTGGAGTTGTGAAAAGATAAGTGGGTAATAACAAGAGACAACAAAAGAAGAGAACAATCCAAGAACGTTGCATATAAACTCCTAACATGTAATACTTCTTTGCTCCAAACGCTTGTCCACACAGCGTTTCCAACGCACTCGCCATCCCAAGCTGCACCGCGAGTTTGATGTATATTATTATTATTACTAGGCATTCTTGTATTAATATATTTTTTTTTTAAATGAAATTACTGCTTACTAAGAGGCCGAAGTTGAAGCCAACGATGACGTTATTAACGATGGATATTGCGGCTAGTTCGAGGTCTCCGAGATGACCAGCGAAAGCTTGAGTGATTACAAGCATCGAGTATGCTGATAATCTAGTGAATATCGCAGGGCCAACGATTTGCCATAACTTCTTTGTCTCAACCCAAACTCTCTTCTTCAGTCCTCTAACGTCTGCTTCCGCAGTGTTAGAGCTTTCCAACAGTGGAATCCTTGACTCTTCTGCTTCTTCTCCCCTTCCTCTCATAGTTAGTCCTCTCTCTCTCTCTCACGTTAATTTTGGGAGATTATATAACCAAAAAGGTAGAATAAACATTGAATACAAATTTAAAATATCAACAAGGCCCACTGAAACTGATCAACCACAACACGCTGGATTCACGTGGTAATACTATATGGTTATTTAGTTTTGGCAACGTCGAGTTATGAGTCCATTGTGATCTCATTGCTTACTCAATGATGGATATTTTTATGACTGACAAATACCTAAAATAAAATAACACTATTCCCCTATTTGTTCTGTTCTTAACAGGATTTACAAAGTATTTTTTTTTTCTAAACAACTTTACAAAGTTGTAGCTAGTCCAGCTAATTTAAAAAAAAATTCAGAACACTTATACTGTAAATTTGTGGAAATATTCAACAGAAAAAATATATACATTAGATAGTAACTTTAGAAGTTGTACTCTTGCACGTTGTCTTATATAAGCAAATACTCCTGCAGATCAGTAACTTCATGTCTCAGAGCATCAACAATGCAGGGTTTTATAGGGGTGCTTAGGAAGGGGGACCATAAAAAGGGGAAAAATCAAGAAGCATCGATGCCAAAATTGCTTGAATAAACAGCAGAGCTTGTTCTGTTTCGCGGACCCCATGTCGCAGTCCGCGATTGGTGAACTTTTTCATTTTTTTTTTGTTAAAATAAAAAAAAGAAAAAAAAAGAAATAAGCAATCCATAAACACTTCTAGCCTTAATCATACTCTCAACTCCCAATAATCTTCCTTGGCAAGCTGTTCAACCAAGTCACATTTTTTTAACGGCTACTTCTCCAATCTCCATGAATGGCTGTTTGTGCTATTTTAATTTTTTTCTTCTAATTATAGTATTAGGTTTATATATTAAATATTCCATCCGTTTCATTTTAATTGTCGTTTTAAATTTTTGCACACATATTAAGAAAATATTTGTTTTATTTCAACATAATGAATCTTTTAAACATCAAATAATCTACATTATCGATTTTCATTATTCAATAACCCCCCATTATAATGATTTAAAAATTGAATATTTTATGCAATATGTCCATTATATATAGGTTTAGAAGTTGTACTCTTGCACGTTTTCTTATATAAGCAAGTACTTCTGCAGATCAGTAGCTTCATGTCAACTCCCAATAATCTTCCTTGGCAACCTGTTCAACCAAGTGGCATTTTTTTTAACTGCTACTTCTCCAATCTCCATGAATGGCTCTTTGTGCTTTTTTTTTTTTTTTAACACTGTTTTATATATATATATTTGAGAAAGTGTTACAAGGGAGATATTTGAACACCATAACCTAAGTATAAAGGTGTTTTAACCATGGAGGAAAACCCCTAGAGATATATGATTGGAACCTATTTTGGCTGATGACACTTTTCGCTATAAGCTTGGTTCCTTTGATGTCAGCGAGAGAGTGGAGTCGTAATTTCCAGGTACGAAAACTCTGTAGCATTGGTAAGAGTTGAGAAGAGTAGTACTTCAATGCTGGCCAGGAAGAAGGTTTGGTTAGAGCATTGATAAGATCATTATCCTCCCCAACAAACAGAAGTGAATCATAGTTCATTGTCTTCAAACAGTCTATTGCCCATTTCCAGCTTTGAAGAATGGCTCTTTGTGCTATTTTGATTTTTTTTTTCTAATTATAGTATTAGGTTTATATATTAAATAGTATTTTTTTGAATGAAGACTTTTTTTTTTCTGAAAAAATCACTGTTTTTAGAGAAAAAATAGGTTGACAAAAGAAAAAGGAAAAAGAAGTTACAACGTGGCCGTTAGATGTGGATCTAAAATCTAACAGCTCATATGCAACTCAAAACCTGTCGGACACAACACCTTTATCCAATGCTGAGTCACTCTTATCCCTGCTGCCAAACAGCAACTGGATTCTCCAAACCGAGACAAAGCTTCAAGATCACGGCGATGTTGTCGGAAAACAAACAGAGGAACCCTAGAATCCTCTGCCTTCACGGATTCAGAACAAGCGGTCTGATTCTCCGTTCGATTATTACATCCAAATGGCCAGACACAGTCCTCCGAAACCTCGACCTCGATTTCCTCGACGGTCCGTTCCCGGCCACCGGAAAATCGGACATCGAGCGGTTCTATGATCCGCCTTATTATGAGTGGTACCAAACTAGCAAGGTAAAGGTTGAGTCTTTATCCTTTGTATTGTTGAAAACAGAGTGTAAAGGTTAATTCTTTTGCCTTTGTATTGTTGAAAACAGAGTGTAAAGGTTAATTCTTTATCCTTTGTATTGTTGAAACAGAGTAAATGTTACTTCTTTTGCCTTTGTATTGTTAAAAAATAGAGTGTGAGGGTTGAGTTTTTTGCCTTTGTATTGTTGAAACAGAGTGTAAAGGTTAATTCTTTTGCCTTTGTATTGTAGAAACAGAGTGTGAAAGGTTAATTATTTTCCTTTGTATCGTTAAAACAGAGTGTAAAGGTTAATTCTTTTGTCTTTGTATTGTTGAAACAGAGTGTAAAGGTTAATTCTTTTGCCTTTGTAATGTTGAAACAGAGTGTAAAGGTTAAGTTTTTTATCCTTTGTATTGTTGAAACATAGTGTAAAGGTTAATTCTTTATCCTTTGTATTGTTGAAAACAGAGTGTAAAAGTTAATTCTTTTTGCCTTTGTATTGTGGAAACAGAGTGTAAAGGTTGAGTCTTTTGTCTTTGTATTGTGGTTGTGTAGGGTTTTAGAGAATACAAGAATTTTGAAGAGTGTTTGGATTATGTTGAGGACTACATGATAAAGAATGGACCTTTTGATGGTCTTCTTAGTTTCTCCCAGGTTTGTTTTGAGTATTGGTTCTTGATGTGTTTGTGTTCTTGATTCATTTTGCTCTGTTTTGATTCTTGTAGGGGGCTTTTCTGTGTGCTGCTATTCCTGGAATGCAAGAACAGGTACATAATCAAATCATAATCCAAGTTCTGATGAGATTGAACCTTAGTGGTCTCTAAGATTTTTGGAATTTTCTTATGTAGGATAAGTTCCCAAATTGCAAAAAAAAATATATATATTAAATTTGAGAAAATGTTTATGGCCCATGAAATCTCATAACGGGCCCTGCTTAGAGTAGTTTTGATTGATTTGTTATGAGCAAGTGTTTTGATGTTGAGAAGTGTTTGTAGGGAACGGCTCTAACTAAGGTGCCAAAGGTGAAGTTCTTGGTGCTAATATCCGGAGCAAAGATTCCTGGTTTGAGGTTTGGACAGCCTAAAGCTGCGGTTGGTGCATTCTCATCTCCTGTTCGTTGCCCTTCACTCCACTTCATAGGTAATCACTGATCAGTAAACTTATACTCTTAAGACACTGGTCTAATCAAGTGCCATAGGTTTTTATTGTTTTAGCTTACATTAATAGTTAAGCCAAGATTGAACCTAATGTGGCTTCTCTGCTACAACATTTGGCTTTTGCTGTTTCTATCAAAGGACCAAATATGACACGGGAGATATATACTTGTATGTGACCTTAAAATGAGAATGCAGAGACTGTAATTCTGTATAATGATTGCAGGGGAGAGGGATTTTCTGAAAACAGAAGGTGAAGTTCTTGTGGAATCATTTGTAGAGCCAGTGGTGATCCGTCATACATTTGGACACACTATACCTAAACTTGGTTAGTAAGAAGAACCAAGCTGGATAGTCATTAACTTTAGATCTGCCTCTTTCTTGGTTTGATGTTATGAGCTTCACTGTGTCTTTGCAGAGACTGAAGCTGAGGAGACAGTGTTGAGCTTCTTCCAAGGGATTAAGAAGATGCTTTCTGATGAATCGTCTTCTCTAAGAAGCTTGATGTGATTAAGAGCTGCTCCCAATAGGTTTCAATTTGATTAGATGATCTTACAAATATAAATTTGAGAGGTGTGCTTGTTCTTTTTGCATATGTTTCCCTTAGTCTTTGTGTGGTTTTAGATGTAGATAAAAATGATACAGTTAAATTTGGTTATACCTTAATACAATTTCAACTATTAAATTTAGTAAAAGTCGTATGATCAATTTTATAATTAATTTTTAGTTAAGAATGAATAGAAAACAACTAAATTGAGATCAACTGTTAATAAAACTAACTTAGATGTTATAGCAAAAAATGTAAGGAATTTTTTTAAAAAAATTTACAGATTCTATTGTTTTTGGTTTATGGATTCTTAAAATCTTATTAGAATCATTTTTATTGGTTTATAGACTTTTAATTCTATACAAACTTTTTCTATTGAAAAAAATTAGTTTTTATTGACTTTGTAATTCTATTAAACTCTTTTGTTATTGGGACACAAATTTTCTCTAGTTTTATTCATAACACTCAACTTTACAAGTATCATCTATACTCATAACATTCTTAAAATCTATGTAACAAAAACACAAATACACAAACACAAAAGATACAAAATTATTTTTTACATTTTTATTGTCAAGGGAAAGATAATTGTAGAAAGAAAATCAAAATTAAAAGAAATTATTAAAAATAAGAATTTTTTTTTTTTTTAAAATCTTTCATCAAATATGACTTTATAGGTAGGTATAAAAAAAAGACTTTATAGGTTGATCTTAAAAATCTTTATAACAAAAATCAAAATATTAAAAACCAAAAAAATATTTTAACATCAAATAGTTATATTTCATGAAAGAATTTTTTTTAGAAAAATAGAAAGATAAGTTTGGAAAGAAAAGTATATATGGAAATCTATGATAATCAATAATAATCAATGATAATTTATACAATACATTGGGTAAAAATTCATCAAATATATTTAACTTTTAAATATCTATTAACTCTAAAATTTTCAAAGTTCTATTGCTATCAGTAATAGGTCCCCCTTATGAAGGTTTGTTCTTGCTATTCATATTTTAGGTAATATTTTCTTCACAACATTCATTTATTGAAGCTCGTTTTCTTTCTAGCAGCAATACATATCCAATAACATAGTAATAAGTTTTTTTTTTGTTAGTAAAGGATATAATCCATTTTATTAAATCTCCTTTTTTTTTGTTTAAGAAAAATGATGGGAGAAAAAAAAAAGAATGGACGATGCACTAAAGAAGAGGTGTTCAGTTATTGTTCTTATAGATTACCATGAGAAACTATCTGGTCATTAATACTTACATCAAAAAGAACAATAATTCCACTTGTAGACAATGTCTTACTTCTTTCTCAATCTACCCCTCAATGCCCTAGTATCTTAGCCATGTCTGTTGTTTTTTAGTCTTTTAAAACAAAATTTTAGGGTCAAAATATTTTTTTTTTGATATATAGGTAACAGATCGAGGTGGATATGGGCTGTGACAATTTAGAACTATATAAATCCTAATAAAGTTGTATTCCCACGCTTGCAAAGCTTTGACTCTTTCGTTTTGGTAAAGTTAACACAAGTCATAACGATAATATATTCAATATTTGCTTATATCTCGAATCACTTGTTTGGTTTAGCCAGTGTGTTTGTTTGATAACACTACTTTTTTTTGTCTCTTTTAGTTTTATAAATTCGGGTGCGCGCAGCTTATAGTTTTTTTTTTTTTGACAATGAAATACTAATCTATTACTCAAGCTTGAGGTGGTCTGGGAATCCAGACCGGAATATAACAACCAACAAACAAAAGATCACGATAGAATGATCGGGCAGTCTTAGCTAGGTGATCAGATACAACATTTTGAGATCTATGAACATAAGAGATTTTGAATTTTGGGAAACAAATCCTTAACGTCGAAATCCTCTCCAGTTCCGTCGAAAAGCTTGGCCATCCCTGAGGATTCATGAGCATTGCTACCAATTCTTTGCAGTCCGTCCCAAAGCTCTGACATGGCGAATGTTGAAGCATGTTCTCCATTGCCCACCGCAGCGCTTCCAGCTCCGAATGCAAAGCCGACTCCACTCTATTCATATTGCGCATCCTCATCAACTGGCTATTCCCTTTGCTGTCCTTCCAGTCCCAACCACAACCAGAGAAATGATCCATAGAGGTCCAAAAACCGTCTATCATACATATATCTCGTAGGCTTATGGCCTGACGGTCATTATCCCCGTTCACATGTGTAATCGCAGCTTCTTGCTCCTTAGCTTGGAACCAGGCAAGACACTCACTCTCCGCATATCGCGCCAGTTCCAGAGGGTCTCTATCTATTCCCCTAAATAGCTTATCATTCCGAGTCTTCCAAATGTACCATATTATCCAAGGATAATGATCCTTATCTAGATCTGGCCCACAAATGATCTTCTTCCGCCAGAATAGGTAGTCCATATTCGAATATATGCTCTCCAAAGAGAATAAAGCTGGACTGGTGGATATAGATACTAGGGTCCATACCTGTAAAGCCGGAGAGCATTGAAAAATTACATGTGCAATTGTTTCATCCGGTTTTCCGCATCTTGGACGCGCAGCTTATAGTTATGTTATTGATTTCTACTTAATTCATTCTTGTGAGTTTATGTTATGTTGTCAAGAGTAAATCATTTTCATCCATCGTGTTTTAAATTTGAAAATGTTGTTGTGTGTTTGTTAATAAACGGAGAGTCGGAGACCAATCCTCTGTGTGTCTCCACGTAGGAAAGCTGATTCCCACCAGCTGACAATGTACATATCAGCTCGTCATCTCAAACGTCTTTCAGTATCCACTTTGCTCATTTTCTTATCTCTCGGTGTTTATATTTATATTCGGGTTCCTAACATTAAAGTTTTACTTACAAATTTTGTAAATTCATCATGCAATTTACCAAGAGACTAGTCACTACTCACTACAAATAATTTATATGAGTATTCCTACTTGAGTTCCAAAAAAAAAAGAGTATTCCTACTTGTCAAAATGTTTAGTATAATAAATTATCACCTCAAACGTTTCTTCTATCAACGTTTGCAAAGCACCTACACGTACTTAAATGTAAACATTGTTTTATTTACTGACATACAAACATGTTTTATTTTAATGAAAAACTTAGTAAATAATTCTGAAAAGCTGTCAACAAAAAATCAGACCTTGAAATTATTAAGGGCATTACAGATTTTGATGTGATTAGACTGCCCATCACTTTATCACAGAAGAATCAATGCATTCATCTAATACTATTGGCATATCGACAAAAATAATTATCACATTTTTATGTATTTTATTACTTGTTAGTTTCCCAAAATTTATCTTTAAACTATTTGTATTTTCTGTTCAGAACATAAGGAAAAAACTTATTAGACTATTTCCAACCCATTACGTCATTACATTTTAGTATAATTTGGATAACAAATTTTTTGGTGCCCAACTGATTTTACTAAATCTTATACTAAAAACTACTCACTCTGTTTCATTATAAATGTCACTCTACAACTGTGTACACGGATTAAAAAAACAATTAATTTAACATATTTCCTATATAAAAACACAGTTACCCATACACCTAACCATATTTTAACCAATAAAAAAACAAATTACATAATAATATTAATAAATTTTGCATTGAAGATCGAAAACAACACTTATTTTGTAACGCAAAAAATTCTCTATAACGACACTTAATATGAAACAGAGGGAGTATTCTTTACGTAATATTATTAACCATATTTTAACCTATTATTAAATCAATTGTATATCTTTTGATAGATATAAAATGTCATTTCCCACGCCATTATGATGCAATCAGTTGCCCCTACAATGACAAACACAAGGAAGCTGCGTAATTACTTCAATTTGTTTTAGGGAAATTGTTTTTTTTAAGGCAAAAAATGGTAACATTGTCATTTTAAACTAATTTCATATACTTTATATTCCATTAGACTAAATATTTTCTAAATGACAATAATGCCCTTAATTTCAAACAAAAAATCGTTTAAAAAAATCTTCAAATAAAAAAAACGAAAAGTAGAAACTACTCCATCCAACGGGATCGATCGATCCCAAAGCATGTTTTTTTTTTTACTTTTTAATGAAAAAATCAATTTTTATTTATGGAAATTGAATATTTCCAAATATTTTCTTCCCATATTTCTGGAACTGAATATTCTTATCCATAAAATTTGTATTCTACTATATGTAGAATACAATAATAATGTTTGGAATCAAGTTCTACATGTTTTAAATTTATAATAATGTGTAGATTCTAATTTCTACTTATTTTAGATTTTATAGTAATATGTAGATTCCGTTTTCTACTGATTTTAGAGAGACAGTTTAAGCGCGAAATATGTATTCTAAATATTTTTAGAATACTTCTATATACGTAGATCACGTATTCTAAACATGGTAGATTCAATGAAAAAAGTGGATTTCATTTTCTACACTAATAAAAATGATAATGTGATTAGGTATTTTTTAATCAACATGAAATAGCTTAAAATTCAATATATAGCAATGATCGAAAACTTAATCTTTTTGTAGGGGTTAACCTACATATTTTAAGATAAATTAGAAAATATTGTATTTTTCTTTAAATGCATAGATGCATTCAGAATATATATAGGATGAATATTTAAGGATGTCTAACACCTTTTTTGTCCCAAATTTCTCTAGAATATAGAGATTTCATAGGGTTTAGTTCTTTGATTTACGTTGTATATGAAGTTTTATTAAATTACTAGTTAGAAAATTATAACTGATGCCTATGTAACATGAAAAATAAATATAGGAAACATTATTATAAATTTTTAATGTGTTAGATATTTTAAACCACACTAAATAAGCTAAACTTAAGTACAAATAACATTTATCGGAAAACTTTGATTTTTTTCGTACGGGTTAACCCACAGATTTCAAAATATATAAGAAACTATGGAATTTTTGTATTTATGCATAGCTGCATCAAACACTGATATAGGATGAATACTAAAGAGTTTTGATATCTTAGTTGTCTAAATTTCTCTAGAATTAGAGATTTTATAGGGTTTAATTCATTGATTTTGGTAGTATATGGAGTTTTGTTTAATTCCTCGGTTGAAAATTAAGAGTGATGGCCATGTACCATGAACATAACTTTAGTACATTAATATAGCCTTTATCGAAAAACTTGATCTTTTCG